TGTGTGTGTGTGTGTGTGTGTGTGTGTGTGTGTGTGTGTGTGTACTCTCATCAAATGAAGTGAGATTTGAGCCCAGAAATTCTCCAAATAAATGTTCTATCACCAATGATGCAACTGCTGTTCATCAAGACTGATATAAATGAACATATTCTGTATTTCATATTATTATATAAATGAGCATATTCTGTATTTCATATTATATAAATGAACATATTCTGTATTTCATATTATATAAACGAACATATTCTGTATTTCATATTATTATATAAATTAATATATTCTGTATTTCATATTATTATATAAATGAGCATATTCTGTATTTCATATTATATAAATGAACATATTCTGTATTTCATATTATATAAACGAACATATTCTGTATTTCATATTATATAAATTAATATATTCTGTATTTCATATTATATAAATGAACATATTCTGTATTTCATATTATTATATAAATGAGCATATTCTGTATTTCATATTATATAAATGAGCATATTCTGTATTTCATATTATATAAATGAACATATTCTGTATTTCATATTATATAAATGAACATATTCTGTTATTCATATTATTATATAAATTAATATATTATGTTATTCATATTATTATATAAATTAATATATTATGTATTTCATATTATTATATAAATGAACATATTCTGTATTTCATATTATATAAATGAACATATTCTGTATTTCATATTATTATATAAATGAACATATTCTGTTATTCATATTATTATATAAATGAGCATATTCTGTATTTCATATCATATAAATGAACATATTCTGTATTTCATATTATATAAATGAACATATTCTGTATTTCATATTATATAAATGAACATATTCTGTATTTCATATTATATRWATGAACTGTTCAGTAAAGTGGGTCAGAATTCTGCTTTTCAATGAAACTAGAATCTCAACAATCGTTTCGTACATGAAATAGAAGTAAATCTGTTTTATTATTTTAACATAACACTTATTTAAGTACTTCATATTTAAAATAAATGAAATAAAAAGGCCTCTTCTAATTTATAAAGGTATGAAACGTGCTCCATCATTACTAAAGATGTCACATTAGATTAAGTGTTAAATTGATTGTTTTTGTTGCAGTGAATCAAACTCGTTTCTATTCGTGTGTTCACGTCTTTATCTGTAAACTTTAAACACCTTTAGACTTTACTGACCAGGTGTTTCCAGACTCGTCACTCTTCCCAAAAGCGCTGTAGGAGCCGTCGTCATGCTTGTAGGTGAGCTCCCTCTGATATCCTAAAACACACACACACACACACACACACACACACACACACACACACACACACACTATGGTTCTGTTTCCATAGAGGAGCAGGACTTTTATATTGAAGTCAAAATCAAGACCACAGAGAGAGAAATGTGACGGGAGCAATAAAACGCCCCAGAACTGCGTTGGGGTTCAGAGGGTTAAAGTAAAGAGTCTTCTCACATCTGGTCCCGTTGATCTGGTTCATGGAGACACGTTCACAGACGGACTCACCGCTCTGCAGGAAGCGCGTCGCTCTGTTCTGAATGTCCTCCGTCAGCTGAGCCGTGCTCTTCAGGTAGTCGAGGATGAAGATGTTGGGAGCAAACAGCACCATGTTCTGCTCCCCGCAGCCGTACGGCATGGCCAGCAGCCGGTCCAGGTTCTTCATGGCCCGGCCCATCAGGTCACCTGCAGAGGATGTTATACTTAGCGCGTTGGAAGCTTAACAGCAGACAGTACTGTCCAGTACGTCACGTGCTAATGCTAAGTCTCGATAGCGAGAGTAAAAAATAATAGTGACGCTGACCCAGAACGGAGACGGAGGCCCGGGCCGATCCGGCCACGAACATCTCGGGCATCAGAAGGGAGATGTTCTTCTCCACCGGCCCCTCTGAACACACAGAGAGCAGACACATAAATAACACATGAAGAAGAGAGCTCTTCTCTCATGTCTGTACGGTAAATATGAAGCTAATTAGCTTAGCATAAAACCACCCAATAAAACCACAGCGGAGCACATCCTTTAGAAGCTCAGTAAGTAACACGATACATTTACTTTGATTAATCTACACACAGACCAGGCTAGCCGTTTCCCTCCGTTTACAGCCTTTATGCTAAGCTAAGCTCATAGTAACTTTGTCACACACATCCCTGATATGTGAATTAATTTTAACATTAATAAAGTGATGTTGCAATGAGTCGGTGTTTTCAATGTGGCTGCCAAATTACAGATGTTTTATTCTGAGAAGATGGAAAATTACTAAAACAATCAAACATTCTGTTTCCTACATTTCAAACAAACTCATCTCTGAGAGACAATAACGAGCAGCCGATAATCACTGAACTGAACCGGGAGAACTTGTGACCCCGACAAGAGATCCACATTCTCACCTCAGTTTGGGTTAAAGTGCAGAGTTCAGGTTTCACACATGAACCCGTCTGTACACGGGCTGTTAGTGAGCGCTCACCTGCGGGACAGAGCAGCGCGTTGTGACCGACCATCTGTGGCGTTCCTTCAGCCTGGAGAGAGACGCAGAGATCGAGATCAATTCAACAAGTATTGTGTGTGTGAATAACATCAAGTGTCCTTTACAACGATTAAACTTCAGATTTATGTTTTCATAAAAAAACAATTTACAGGTGATCATGTCAAAGTAGAGTACGTCATGAGACTTCATAACGTTTTACATCATAGTATAGTACATCATAGTATAGTACATCATAAAAACATTGTGAGGTATAAGTAGTCACAATATATTACGTCGGGAAAAATGTGATAAAAATTGTCATAAAAACGTTAGTTAACTATGTCATTAAAAACATGTCATAGAATAGTGTGTAAAAATAAATTCATGATAGTATAGTTTAATATATACTATAGTCTCATTTAATCCAAACACGTCATAGGAAAGAATGAAAAAAGTACGACATTAAATAAAAGAAAAATCAAAGCAGAGTTCTCATAAAAAGAAAGAAAATCTAAAGAAATGTTAGAGTATATCTTAAAAACTATCAAATAGTCCGTCAACAAATGTGATTAAAAGCTTCGTATAATCTGTCGAAAAAAGTTTAAAAAAAAAAAGGCAAAGAAATATCCAACGCTGTAAAAGATGTCTAACTCGTAAACGGTTAATCTGATGTGTTTTGTTATATTTATTGAATTAAATGTGAAAGTCGACACTTCAACATGATTTGAACTGAAGCAGTCAATGTTTGGTTGGAGTCGCGTAAAAGAGGCAAAATTAGGAAAATTGCATGACAGTCCAAATACGCATAACCCTGACGGTGTGTGTCCTCGTTAGTAGAACTCAGACCTTCTGCTCGTGTCACGTTCGTGCTGTTTTGCGCTGTGTTTGCCGCTCACTGACCTCCACCAGCAGGGTGCGGACCACCGTGTCCATCCGGCCCACGGCGGGGACGG